AAGAAATTACAACATTCACCTCTTATTAAAATGAACACTAGGATCCACATGAGAGGGGTCTGTGGTCAGTCTTGTGTAATCTTCATATTTGTCGGGATTCTTTGGGATCTGGAATTTGGCCATTTGTACCTCAGTGTCACTCAATCCCCCGTGTGTTATACGAGCATATCCAAGTCTGTATGAAATGACAGAGGAGAGTCATAAACCAGCTGAAGATTACATAAGGCAAAGTGAACATTAAAATTAGATCTGAAAGGATGAGAAAAATTCTTCTGAGTAATTGACTATTTCAATCAAAACCATTGATTATTTGACTAGACCACCAAAGACATCCATAACTTTTATGCATACATGTACATATCAAAGTATTCTGTTACACAAAATATATTTCAAATTTTTACAAATTTCTATATCCTTGAGATCTTGACTTACTTTCTCAGTCCTCTGTACATAATATATTCACACCATCTGCCTTTGTCAGTTTCATCAATGTCCTTTACATTTCCACTGGTCAATAGTTCACGGTAGTCACGACTTCCAGGGGCAGAGGTCACATAACCGAGGAAAACTACTGGATTCTTGCTATGTGGAGACAAAACATCAAAATCATCTTCATTTTTTTTAAACCAGACATCGTTTATTTAGTGTTACCATCATTAATCACAAAGAATCAATTTTATAAACAGTAAAAGTCTGAAACCATGATGTATGATAAAAACTGCAAAGAACTTTATAGATCGTAAAAGTTACTAATACTTTTCAATGTAAAGCTTTTAGTACAGAAAATCCTCATATTTTTCAATTATCTAAAATATACTTTTGCTCCTCAGACACTGTAACCTTGAGTATTGACCTAGATTTACCTTTCCCTGAGTTCCTTGGCCAGGAATTTGGCCTGTAGTTCTCGGTCCAGTACGTCTCTATCATTCCCCATATGAGTGACCACATAGTCCACATGTCTCCCTCCATAGTCCACTGTTGCTGTGATAGCTGGAGCCAGCTCTCCTGTTCAATGAATAAATTTGTAGAGAGTTGAAGGACTGCATTCATAATTACATGGTGTCTTTTAAAGCCTTCCAGAAAACTTGAGTGTTCTAAGAACTGCTGACTTACCATGTGGTGAGGGAAGAAGATGGTGAGTAGACTTCACAATTGGATATTTGGATAATATCAGATTCCTACAAGTAGAATACATAATCATTATGCATTTTATGCACTTACATTCAGTAAATATTTTCATGCAACAGTTCTAGCTTATATTTTGCCTATGAAAAAGTTCTGTTAATTTTGGTTTCAAGTTTTAAATGCAAATTCTCCATTAGCAAACTCTGAAATTGCTTACTTATGAGACCTGTTTTTCATCACTTACCCCCATGTGTGTGTTTTTGTTGCAGGTCCAAAGTCTACATACATTCCCAGCTTCTCTCCCAGCCACATTCCGAGGTCATTGTTCCCCAGGAATGGTTTGGAGGCATCACTCTCCAGGAGGGTCACAAAATCAGCTCCTGGAAGGAAGAAATTATCAGTATAAAATCTGAAAATTTTTCTGTCACTTTGACTAAACCAGAAGAAATATGGAGATTATTTTATGATGACTTCTAAATCTTCTTTCTGACCTGTTTCGTTAATAAGTTTGGCTGAGCGTTCCAGACTTGGCCAGCCTTTATTGTCATATCCAAAGTGGTAGGTCCAAATCATGGCAGAAAATTCAGGTTCAGGTCCTACCTGTCATAGAAAAATTACACCAGAGATGTCAGTGATCTACATCAAAATTTATTTTGAATATTAAAGTGATCAATGTAAAAAAAACAAAAAAAAACGTTATTTTTAAAATATGTCATCAGTCAATAAACCAGGAAATTTTTCAGTAGAATAGATTGAGTTGTTCCTCTCAAATGGAATCATCAGGAAAAAATATTCTAGTCTTTTTATACTAATCACCTATGTCATCAGTTGAAACAAGTTGAAGGTATCAGTACTTAGGAGTATGGAACAAGGATTGTGTTTTCACCATTTCAGAGGGGAAAATTACAATTCATCAAATTCAATTGCTTTATATGTATAATATGGCAAGATACAATCAATACCTTTGCAGGATGAGAAATCTTTTGCTGACTGTATCTTGTGGCAAATCCAGTCAAGCCACAACACAAAATCAGTCCCAAAACTGTCAAAATTAAGAATAGTTTAATACTTTGTTAAAAACATTTAATTCATCATGCAAATACTATTTGTACAAAATAAATCTTAAATTAAATGTTTTATTTTAATCTGCAATATATCTTGCAAGTTTTTAATTTATAAGAAAATTATTAAAAATACACAAGAAGCAATAAACTTACTAATGTTGACTTTTGAAAGTGAAATCTTCTTCTTTTCAACTACAGGTAAAGCGGTAAAGGTCTGGTCAAAAGATTTACCTGGAAATATGAATTATTGTAAATTTCATTTGAAAATTTGTTCTCAGATTATTTTTTCATTATATTTTCCTTTAAACTAAAAATATACATAGAGGTTTATTAAAAATACTTTTTATTATGGCTTCCATAATAAATTAGTGCATGCAAAATGCAGAGTTAAACAAAACTCATTAAAACACAGAATACTGCTATTTTGAAACAATATAACCGGTAGTACAGTGTATGTAAATTCATGTATTAAAGCAATTTGATTCTGTAAAAAAAAGGAAAAAAAAGATAAGAAGATTACCAATAAACAATCCTAAAAATATTCCTAACATCACTGTTGCTATAAGATAATCTGTGTGTTCCCTTGTGTAGACACCACCAGGCACAAAGTTATACGCCACAGTCCACACAAAGAAGAAAATCTCCACAAGATAGGTCGCCACGGCAACCACAAGTGACCTTCCTGGAGGGCATCTACTGAATCTGTCTGCCATTTCTGGCCAAATGGACATGGTGTATACAGCCAAGACTAGGCCAGCTGTGGAAATTGATCATAAATATTGTCAAATACATGTAATTAATGAGAAGCATTGTACAATATGATGTCCTGTGATTTCATGCACTTGGTAATATAAATGGCAATGTTGGTGTAAAATAAGGTTTTAACACTGTTATGTTTTTTTTTATTGTATCTGATCATTTTAGCTGACCTGCATAACCCTGGTAGGTTGGTAAGTAATACAGTCCAGCTAAAGATAAAGCTCCTATCAGCCACCAGATTTTACTTTGTGCTACGTGACGACATGCTGACATGTAAAATCCAAATACAAGACATAAGAACACACCAATTCTGGAAATAAAAATGTTTACAAACCATAATACAAAATACCCTCGAGTAAAATGTATTTAACTGGTATGAAACACAAAATAAATCTTATGTACCATGTTTAAGTATTTATTATAATAAATTACCCCCAAGGATAAGGCAGTGGCCCATGGTCTGGATAGCCAGTCACTACCCATCTAGTAATCAAGGACACCTCCCCGAAACACCAGTGTGTCAGATAGATAAGACTTCCAAATCCAAAGGCTGTGGGTAACCAATATGGCTGCTCAGGCCTCTCTTTTTCTTTGTTGCTAACAATGTCTGCTCCTGTATGAATTTGGATGAATAGATAATGATAGCAGCTTAAATGGGTAAATGAGTAAAACTTTCTAGAAACATCACATGTGAATATTGCTTCCAAGAACTCTTTACATATGTATAACAAGAAGGGAGAAAATGTGATGGGCCGGAACAAAACTTGTACCCATGTCACCAAACTCTAGAAAGGCGTTCTACCAACTGAGCTATCTTGCAAACATTTTTAAAAAGGAAAAAAGAAACTCTAATTTAATTATTAATGTGCTTTTTGCAAAATTTACCTGAGATTATCTGATCTATGGTGGAAATGACAGCTATGGCAATGATTGCTGAGTTTGTAGTGTTGCTCCACCATGTGGGAATAAAAGAGGCAAAAAATATTCTGCTTGTGATCAAGGACAGTAGCCCCAGAAACAGACCCCAGAATGTGGAGGACCTGGAATAAAGACCATTGTCACAATGTAGCTTTGAGAGAAAAGTTCACCATATATCATAATTAAAATTTAATAGAGATCTGCTTTAATGAAGTAATCTACCAAAATAAACAGCAAGAATTAAATACACAATTATTTCAGTTATGTACAATTCTCAAACTCTCCACTAGAACATACTGAGCGCTATTTCATTGCACCGACTCATTTGTAGAATTTTCTAAGCACCCTACCTTATTTTGACATCTGGACTCCATAATGTGGATGCTAAAACAAGCATTTGAACTCCAGCTCCCCCTGCAAGAATCATGAGTCTGGTTAGAGTCGTTGGTGCCTGAAATGAAGCTAGTGATCCAACCATCAGAAGCCGAAGCAAACCCAAGACCCATCGATTCTGAACCAGTGACAGCATGCCTGGTATACCAAGGAGGATAGGGCTGAACCAGGTGGCAGCAAATGCCTCATATCCGGATATGTCGAGTTCATTTAAAGGATAGAACCATATCATAGGTCCTAGACCTTGAAACAAGGACCAAAATACATAACCTACAAAAATAGGGGGAAAACACTGATTTATTGATACAGCAAACAACAAAATCATAAAATAAATAAGATCTTCTTCAATCAGAACACGATATGAATAAATTGGGTTGCATCTGTTTCATCAAGCAAGGAAACGTGAATCATTTACCGGCATCTCCCGCATTTCCTCGAAAAAAGGAAGCGTCACGTGTAGAAATTATATTTCAACACCTACCGTTTATTGTTTCTCGAGCAATTGATCGAAAAGAGAACAGTTCAATTTGGCCCTCCATGTTTTTGCTCGTCGTGGCACTTGAAGACTAAACGTTTAACATGTTTAATCTATCGGAACCCACAAAAGTAGAAATGTAAACAACTAGTCTCGTTCAACCAGACACTCGGCTGTCTCCGTAAATCTCCGACCAGCCAGAGGCTGGTCGGAGTTTACGGAGACAGCCGAGCGTCTGGTTGAACGAGACTAGTAAACAACTAGTCTGGTCCCCTTCCCACAATTCCGTTCGCGCACTCTCTACATTGAGGTCAGGCATCGGTTGATTCACTGTTAGACGTTGCGCAATTTCAAAATGGAGGACAAAGTAAGTAACCATCTCGAGAAATAATTGCTCATATCTATTTGTTTAACATCATGACAACTTATTTCATCAATGCTTACTGTTAACCAAAGTTGTTTTTTATTTATTTTTTTATTCATTTGATTTATTTTGCGTAAATTTACACTGTTATCACTGGATTAAAAAATGTTTACATTTTAAGAACGTGGAGGTAGTCAACATTGACCCCCAATATTTCCTTTGTCGTGGACCGACATCAAAATTTTATTGTCTAGTCTAATGTATATATGAATGATCTATGTTAGGATATACAATGTTTTATATGTCGCTCCTTATTTAATACAGTAAAAGCACCCCAGATTTTTTATCATAATTCTATCAACAATTAGCATGTGCTCTGGCCTACTATTGCATATATTTGACATAAAACAAAGGTTTAACGCTTCTGTATTGTTTGCATTTTGCTGTCCATGCATTCATCATATAAGTTGAAAAGGGGGAGGGATTAAACCCCCTGTGTATTTATTTTGTTTTATTATGATTCCCCTAGCTGGTACCTTAATTTCCTTCCACTTTATCCAGCATAATATTTACATGATAGCATGAGTCTAACATGTAATGTTATGGGCTCTAAATTAGAAATAAAATGTTCTGTTCTGTTCTGTTCTGTTTAACAAAATATATACATGTTTAACAAATATATACATGTAATTTTCATGAAGGCTTGTGGAAGTGAATCCCACCACTATACAGATGTTTAGCAGTTAAAGGTGGTGCTAGTTTGGTAGGTCACCACAATCTATTAATATCCTTGCATACATAATAATTTTTCATACAACTGTAATGCCAACTTGCCAAGGCAATACATTTTGAAAAATGTACCAATCCTTTTTATATTGTAACAGGTTCATTATAGCTTTCAGATAATCATTAATATCTCTATTTTGTATGTTTTTTTTTTAGGCTTTTCCATCGTTCATTGCATTTCATAAAATTTACCAGGATACTGAAAACATTTAATCCCCTGTATTAAAGACATGATGGTCAGCCAAAAGAGAGCATTGAAGCCCAACAGGAACAACCCCTCTACAGCTTACAGTTTAAACTTGAAGAGTAATTCGTTTAAATTAATCTTGCACACCTTAAAATGTTTGTCCTTTTCTCCAAGTCATTGCGTGGTTACAATCTTATTGTAATTACAAATGAACAGAAAACAATGATATAACCGTGAAACAGATTTATCAGTTCAAATGATATTAGCTATAAGGAGAGTAAGTCAAATTAATTATAAATTATTTTACAGATTTACAAAAGGAATAATATGCAAATTAATATGGTGTATATCAGGACTCAAAAAGCAAGTCAAAGTTCATACAGTTAAACTTGTTTAATACAAATATGCGATGATGGATATTGTGAATTCACACAATAGAGAAGTTATCTTGTATTCTCAGCAATATAAATTAAGCAAATTCCTTATATATAATGAATAAAATGGATGTAAGGAATTTTAAAAGGATATAGGATGTAATTTCTGTAAAACCGAGTTTTACTGTATTAGGTAATGCTCTTCGCTTTATGTTCAGTTTACTATATTCTGTTTATAGGTCTGAAGTGTACCAGTGTACCAGTTTCTCTTTGACCTGTGCCAACTCTGGTAACCCCGCCTTTGTCAAGGACACGTGTACTTGTCGCTGTCCCGAGGGTCTGGATCTCTATACCGGATGTCCGACTCATTTTGATGGGGGGTATTTAACTTAGTACATATACAACTCTCTGTTATCCTTGGGCTTTCAATAAGGTGTGGTGTTCTGAATGTTACATATTAAGCATCTGAAATTTACAAAGCTTTCATTCACTGTTGTAATATATATGGGAAAAAATTTGGGAGAATGTCAACGAGTGTAATAAATACTCATTAACTGCATTTCGCACAGCAAAGAGGTACGACTTAGGTCATTTCATCGTCGTCAACAAAAAATTTAAAGTTCTGATTTATTAATTTCTTAACAAATGAGAATCTATTTGCCATTTGGGATACTTTAACTACGTACATGTAGTGTCGAGAATGCCACACTTTTCTGAAAGTCCGGTGATGATAGAAAATTGTACAAACTTAAAAATTAAAAAATGTTCTTTTATTTTCAAAAATTCCCTTATTATTTTACATCAAATTGAATCTGCATACTCGGCATAAAAGTTTGGAGTGCCAAAAGCTCCATCATGACTATTTTATGTTATTTCTCCAAGGCACGGTCAAGGTCAAATAAGTCCTTACTTCAACCTAGCCAAACGGAGGCAAATGTAACAAAAATACATGTATATCTTATAGAGATTAAAGAATAAGATGAATTAATTTCAGAAAAGCTTTTGGTACCTAATATTTATTTCTTCAGATCGAATGATTTCAACAAAATGGCCATCTGACACCTTTACCAGATTAAGTACCTGGATACATGTAACTGGCTGTTCCAGTGGGTTTTATGAAGGCAGTTTTACACATCATATTAAAGACACCAGGATGGACCACACAAGTTCCACATTTAATGCTGACATCATTTCAAAGCCCACCTTTACATTTTACAAATTTTGTGCTAAGAAGAAAACGGAAGAAAATAGAATTTCGCCAAGCTGGCCTGCAGGAAAATATTGTATCTACCGCCAAGGAGGGGTTTTTCCCATTGGTAAATAATGCAGAAATAGATTTACCGCTATTTCTAATTAATTAAATTTTCAAGCAAATGTAAGCAAACAATTGTAACCATTACACAATCAAATTAAATCAAAAGCTGTGGATTCAATTTTTTTATTCACAAAATACTTAAAATTTGCTGTCACAGTGGTGCTTATCAATAAAAAAAAAGAAGATAAAACCATTTTTTTTAGGAATACTAGAAATATGATCACTATAAGTACTTTGTAACATTTATATCTTAGGCTTCAGTGGTGGATATATACAGTATGATGACACCATGAATCCATAGCATTCAGATATTCTCGGCATTCTTCCTGAGGTGACTTCACGGCCGACAGAGGTTCTATTTCTGTTGTTGCAGTGACTGATCTACATCATCTGGTTATCCTACCATCAAAGGAGCCGTTTATCTTATTTCTGGACACCTCTGCTTGACAGTAAGTCGCAGGTTCTAATTTTCGCAAGGGTTTTAATTTCATAAAATAATTAAAAACGAAAAAAAGGGGTAAATAATGACATGTTTTTTTTTAATATTAGCCTTTTTATCAAGTCTGTTGTTTTAGTTTATAAAAATTGTCTTTGTATTTTAAGGAATGCAAAGTTTTGATGACAATGCAGAGTCAAGATATTGTGACAAAGACATGCCAGCTTGAAGAAGACCATCCAGTGATCATGGTGTTCCACTCAATTTTTCAGAATTATGTGTCAGATTGAAATTCATATTATGGTGCAAAAAGCAATCAGGACATTCTTCTGGATCTAGTAAGTGTTTGTAAATAGGAATGAAAAAGATTTTACTCTTCCCTTGTATACTTCAGATTGGAACCTGAAAATGAGAAATGACCATGTAAATGCATTTTTTTAAATTGGTAAACAGTTCATGTTACTTGTACATATAATATGATAAGCATGATCTGAATTTTATTATACCTTGAAATTTTACTTTACATACTGACAGACTTTCTTAAAGTATTTTCATACACTGAAATCTGTATGTCAGATTTAAAAAATGTTGAATCAATATTTTTTTTCAGGTCCAAAGTATTGACAGAACCAAAGAATACCTGATAGTCTGCAAATGGAGTGATCATTCTGATTCATTGGATGAACCAGGCAACACTGATTATCTCAAGAAATTTTAGGCTAAAGACTCCATCTTCATTCATAAATGATTCATGTTGACATTTTCTCACGGGCTTTTGTTTCATATCTTCTTTTCACATGCAGCATCAGTTATCCTGTAGTGTCAAAGTGTTTTATATTCAAAGTAATTGATTCTGAGACTTATTTAAAATCTGTTATTAAACAAATTGTAATAAAATCATGATAGCAATAAGCACAGTATTATTTTACTTTGCATAGCAGAAGTCTTAATTCATTGAAAAATAATGAGGATTTACTTTGTCTATTTTAGACAGGTAGAGCTCTATTTTTCTATTAGCTGCAGAACTGTAGCTCTCTGAAAAAAATATTGGGGGCAAACCTGAGAGCTACAGTGCCACCCATTGAAAAAAAAACTGTATATATATTGCGCACAAGAAATGTTTCCTGATTTATTTCTCCATGTTTTTAAACCGTCATCTCAAAATATTACTAAACATGTGTCCCTAACATATTCTTTCACTGTTTTCACAACAAAACATTCCTTATAATTGATGTTAGTAGCCCTTCTGGACCTGAAAATGAGATCATCGAAAATTTTGTCTATTTATACTACCATTTTGGTTTGCAAAATATTTCGGTCTTGCAATGCTTCATGCAGTTGTAAACTACGAGAGTACTTGATACTAAGAGAAGTAATGAAGAACTAGTGCTAATTGTAACGGGGACCGTTACAGATGTTCCCCAAACGCTCCCCAACTCCCTTTTGGTGCCATATTCCCTGTAAGCTTAATTAAATAAGACAAACTCGATGCATTTGAGACTTTAACTACGTTTACCCAGAAGTGTACAAAGTTAATTCAAATTTTAGCATTGCACGCGTGCGCATGTGAATGCATGTGTGTAATGACCATATCATCTTGTCAACACAATCTATATATTTTAATATACTAAATATTAAAGTATTTAATCCAAAAGTATTTAAAAAAGATGCGCTCATTCAAGTGTTTTTTGGATTTTGCTCATTTCACGTGCACGCACGTGCATACTTGAGCATGGTGACCATACCTTCTTGTAGATGT